CCCGGGTATTCCAGTCCCGGTCCTGCCAGGGTTTGGCTGCAGCTGCTCTGAGTTGGGGACACACACACACTGCTGGTCCCGGAGCAGCCACCCGCCCCACTGTAAAACTGGAGCTGGTTTCTAGAGGCAGATGAAGGTCCTGGTCTGCACCGGGAACTGGGAGGGCTGGGGTGGCTGGTGCCCCCCACCCCCCCATGCTCCCTCTCTGATCCCTTCACTCTGTTTCTTTCCTTTAGCTGTTCTTCCTGCTGCTCCTTCCCCACCTCTGGCTCCATCTCCAGGCCTGGCTGGCCAGGCTCTCCCAGGAGAGCCCCCCAGCACTGCCTCAGCCCTTCCTGCCCCCCCAGGCCCCCTGCCCACCCCTGTGGTCCCAGCTGCGGCCATCCCTGTGTTCTCTGTCCACCCCCAGCTCCCTGCCCCAGCTCTGCAGGTACCAGTTGCCACTTTGCCTCCTCCAGCACCACAGTCCCCAGTTGGTTTGGCAGCCCCAGGATCTCCAGGGCCTGGCCCTGTTGGCCCTGTGTCTCCAGGGCTCCTGCCTGCAGGGCCAGTGGCCCCTCTCGCCTCCGCCTTGAGCATTGGTTCTCCCTCCCCACCTCTCCCCTCTCTGGTGACAGCTCCTCCAGCCCCACTGCCTGCCCTTGGGGCAGCCCCTGCTCCTCCCTGCAGCCCTGGGGCAGCCCCAGCTGCTCTTCCACCCACCCCTTTCCTTCTCCCAGCAGCAGCCCCTGCTCTCCTGCCCACTACTGCTGCCCCTGCTAAGACTGCAGGTTGTCCCCCAAGCCCGGGCTCTCCCCCTCGTCCCATCACAGCCCCTCTCTGCCCTGTCCTGGCATCACCAGTGCCAGTGTCTCCTGGCAGCCCTGCCTCCACCCCGCTGGCTTCTGCCTCTCCCCAAGCCCTGTCCCTTCTGGCTCCTCCAGTGCCAGCTGGGATGTCTCCTGGGAGTCCTGCTGCTGTTCCACAGGACCTGGCCCCTGCTGCTCCCATCTCCCAGCTCCTTCCAGCTGCTACTGTTGCCAAGACCTGTCCCATGGGCCCTGCCTCAGTGGCCCCTGTGGCTGTAGGTGGCCCAGTCCCTCCCTCTGTGGCCAGGACCCCTCCTGGGAGCCCAGACCCTCAGGCAGTGCTGGGCACAGTGGCAGCTC